TCTTGTCCGATAGCCAAATATGAATTGAGAGGAAATCCCTGCAAATTAGGGGAATTCCTCTGGGGTCACCAGAACTAGTGTCCCCATTGGAAGATTTCCCCTCTATTACTTTTGGGGATTTATTTTTACTTTCATTCATAATGGTAAACAGGACAAATAGAGTGAATCTACCTAATGGGGACACAGACAGAAATAAAAACTGACAAGCATTCTAATCCCGATTCACTCTATCCAAAACTAAAAAAAAAGTTTTGCTTTAGTTAGGGTTAAAAAAAAAAAAAATTAAAATCGCAGAACCCTGGGATGAAAGCAGCTTTATACTTGCTTGTCCCATAGCCTATTTGCTTTAAACTTTACTATGTAGCAGAGCTCCTGACCCTGAGCTTCTGCCACACTTACGGGTGTGTGGACGAGAGTGTGCCCCAGTGGACACTGTGGTTCCACACTAAGAGTCAGTAGGAGGAACCAGAGCAGCCAGCAGGGGACCCACTCTTCGACCAGCCTGAGAAGTCACATAGATTCAGCACTGGAAGCTTTGCTACAGAGTGACATTTATTCAGTCCCTGCCCACAAGGAGCTTACAGTCTAAGGTACCTAGCTCACATTCATACCTGCAGTACACATATTGGGGCCAATTTAAACAGGATCCAATCAACCTACCAGCATGTCTTTGGAGTGTGGGAGGAAACTGGAGTACCCACGCAGGCACAGGGAGAAAATGCAAACTCCAGGCAGGTAGTGCCGTGGTTGGGATTTGAACCGACGACCCTAAGTGCTAAACACTTTTGCCACTGTGCCTGCATTTCCACAGTCAAGCCACAAGACAGGCAAGTGCCCCCATAAGCCGCTTGTTATTTTTATCATAGTTCTGCAGTTTTGTTTCTTTTAACTAATTGACTGGGTTGCTTTAATATGCTTAGGGTTGTGAACAGCAGAACAGTTTCACTCTTTAAATAAAGGAGCTGTGCATATACAGTTGATGTTGCAGAGAAGGCCTTAATGACATTTCTCTATAGAAAATCTGCTTATGTTATCTTACCTAAAAGGCACTTTGATTAGACTTTGATAGAAACCATACTCTTGAGCCTAATGCTGGGAAGTTAAAGCTAGAAGCCGATCTTTCCCCCAAAACATGTATGTAAATTTTACAAGATAATCGCTTTAATACTGAAAGTGATTTGTAAATGTTCACACTTAAAAAAGAAAAAAAAACAAACAGGTCATACTTACTCTGTGCAGCCCCAATACGCCTCTTCTCAAGTCCCTTACCGGTGCTCCTGCCCTCCACCAAGTGCCCTCATAGCAAGACTAGCTCTTGGTGTCCATAGACTGAGTGCAGCTCAATCAGCCAACCCCCCCTCCCCCGTCTCCCTCCTTACTGCCTGTGATTGACAGCAGTGGGAGCCAATGGTGTCGGAGCCGAAGAGGAGGGAGAGAGCCAAGAGTCTATGCTCTCATGCACATTGCCAGATTGAGATTGGACTCGGGTAGGTAGGTATAGGTATAGAAATGGGAAGGCCTGGAAAAAAAATTTTTTCCCTAAAGTCATTTTTATTGTTTTTCTGGGGAAAAAGCATGGACTATGTTATTTTAAAATGATAAATATATCTGTGACATGGTACTATAAACCATATAACATGAAAACTTTAATGAAAGGTTTCTGAGACTTTATATAAAGTTCTTTCAACTGATGACAAATCCCGTAATACAATTTAAGTAACACTGTATTTCTCAATGCAGTTCTCAGACAAGAGAAATGTGCATTTCTGCCACTAGGGGGCACTGCATGGCAAAGGCTCCAATTTAGTTTGCTTGTAAGCTCCATCTTTTACCTCCTACAGCTGGGCGATTGTTAGGATACAGTAGATGATAGTTTCTGTCCTCCTCTCAGGCCTTAATTGACAGGTAAGAGAGTAAATTTGACAAATGAGTTTATCTTTATAACCTTTACAACATCCTATTGATGTTCGCCACCTTCACTGACCTATAATCTGGTCAGTAAATTGGTTTTTCATTTCCTCCACTCAGTAAAATGGTGAAACCAACAACTAGAACCATGTTTCTCAATCAGGGCTCTGTGAGAGGTCCCCAGGGGTTCCGTCACGATCTGCCTGTCCATCACAAGCTGAAGTTTGGTAGATTGCATTCCCACATGGCTGACAGGCTGCAAAGGGAAACAGCTTGCATCACTGTCCTTCACCGATCCCAGCTGGCCCTCCCCTCCTCTGTCTGTTCCAGGTGCCTGTATACGACATCACCCAGGAGGGACGAGAGAAGAGGGCAGGTGGAGATCAGCATACCAGATACAATCCAGCAGCTTATCTGAACTATTCTGAATGAGGGAAATCCACTACAGACCCCAGTATTGTGCCCTCCAGTACTGTTTACTCCTGGCCCCCCTGGGTGGGTAGATTGTAGAGAAACCTCTGTTCCCTCCTGGCACCCCCATACTCTTCCCTCCTGGCCCCCCTGTTCTGTTCTGTCCAGTGCCCCTCTCTCTTTCCAGTTCTCTCCTGACCCTCCTGTACTGTTCTCTCCTGACCCCCTATACTGTTCTCTTCTGGCCCCCCTGTACTGCTCCCTCCTGGATCCCTTGTGCTCTGCCCTGCTGACCTCCTGTACACTGCTTATCTCACGTTTGACCCAGAATTGAGCATCTGTGCAAAAAAAAAAAGCAAGCACAAGTTTCACATTAAGGAGGTAATTTTTAATATTCTATTGTTTAATGCTCAAAGAATATTTGTTATATCTACAGCCCACATCACATCAATGTTCTGTGCGCTGGACATTTCAGGGGTCCCCTGAGATTTCAAACTTTATGCCTCCAAAGGTAACAGGTATCCTTATCTAGAGTTTGAGCAGAAATTGCACTGTGGAAAGTTTTCCAGAGCAAAGTTGAAATTAGTAGGTAACAAAATGGCTTTCAATTTGTAAGACTACCCCACACTGAATTTTTTTTATTTAAATTTTTCTGAAAATCCCCTTCCAACCCCCCCCCCCCCCCCCCCATGGCTTGGAAATCTCTGGAAATTTGACATCTCTAGTCAGTATAAAAGGGGCTGGGGGGCTGCATACTGAAGATTTATTTTACCTTCATGCAGAGAATGCAGTAAGGTGAAAAAAAAACCTTCAGCCTTTAGAACCACTTTAACCATGTGATATTCTCTAGTCCCTTTGAAACTAAAGATTTGGATATTCTCTTCAAAGCAGCTGCAACATCAGGTTGCTTAACTCTCTATTAGGTTATCCAGATGATAAATGTTGTGAAAATTTCCAACACCAATTTCAACGACCGAGAAGTCGCCTGGCTTATCATCAAAGACTGAAGTAACAATCTTCAAATTCTCTACAGTTGGCAACAAATACAGCAAATTATGCCGTGTTTTGTTTTTGCTCTCAGACATACAAATCCCCAGCCATATTCTTCACGATAACTCCCCAAAAAAGGAAGTATTAACCTGCTATGTCTGCTTTAGTGATATCCAAAACCTTGTTTTATTAGTAAGAGAACTGTCTGGCCTCTAGGTGTATGAGCACATATATTAAAAATCCTGAGCTTAAAGCAGATGTTACTGTCCTTGACTGTGCCGGTGCTTTCAAACATCTGTGTAGCACATGTCTTTTTCCTCTGTAGAAACTATTGCTTAATGGTTGTAATGATGAAAATGTGACCCCCATGCATGCCTTAACAGAAAGTCTTAAAACTGGAAATGATAAAGGCACGCCTCATTATAAACTGAAAATTTGCCATGTAAAACAACATGGGGACTGGCCGTGCAGTGCTTCTGATAATTATTCTGTATACCAGTTTTCCTTCTGCTTTTCAGGAACCCCCTTTCCCAGCCCTTGTTAGTAAGCAGGTCAGGAAGCTTAAGAGCTAACCTCCACCATCACATGGCATCCAAAATGCAGGGGCAAGATTTTGATTGTCTTTTCACACTGTATTGTAATACTCCCATACTCTTGCGGTTCCCATAGGGTCACTCATTCCCCCCATGGTGGCATGCTCAGTTGGAACTTCTGTCTTGTAGCTAAACGTCTTGAGCTCCATTGATCAAGGGTACTACCTGTGTTAGTCTCCTGCAGCTCATTATTGTAAATCCAAATTAGCTTGCTGTGCCAGGTCAGATCCATAGTGGTTTATTAAAGCTAAACTCCAAGCATATCTCACATTTAAAAAAAATAGTTTTAAATATAAATGGTGTATGTACCTAAATTTGATGTGGTATCAACTTTTTTTTTCCCCCAGGGGTGGAAGGGTGCGGTGGTGGTGGGGGTGGTGTCTCCCTGTCTGGGTATATGGGTCAGGTGTGTGAAGACAAAATTGCAAAATAGTCAGCCATGAAGACCATATGCATTTTGAAGCTTTGTTTTATTTAGTTGGTCTTGGTTCGTATCCCAAAAGGCAAGTCGTGGCAGCACTTCCCTTGGCTCTCGGTGTTTGTTTTGCTCCAGAATTGACTTGCTGGAAAAGACATGCATGCTGTCCAGTGTGTGTGTGTCTTTCTCTATAACACAAGTGTCAAACTGGCGGCCCTCCAGCTGTTGCCAAACTACAAGTCCCATGAGGCATTGCAAGATTGACAGTTACAAGTATGACTTCCAAAGACAGAGGCATGATGGGACTTGCAGTTTTGCAACAGCTGGAGGGCCGCCAGTTTGACACCCCTGCTCTATAGCATGCTCCTGGAATATTTGCATATGTGTATATGATCATTTTGATATGATAAATGTATTTGTTAGAATGTCTTGATATATGTATGGAATTGATTTAAGAATGCAATACATAAATTGACATTACAAAATGCAAAAAATGCAGAGGATTGCATTTTTTTCCAGGATATCCTGCTAGTAATCTGTTTTGGATCTTGGTTCTTTTTTACTGACTTGATTGTTTTATCCAATCATATACAAAGTAATTCTTTCCACAAACGTTTGCTCCTCCAAACCCCACCAGTGAACTGCAGTGTTTCCTAATTTCTTCCTCTGTATTTGTACAGGTTACAATTGAAGTAGTCGATAGTGCTGACACAGATCCAGAAAATGAAATGCAAAAGGAGAGCAAGGCCAGCTGGCCGGTTCCATCACCAGACTGGAGGAGCTGGTGGCAGAGGTCGTCAACATTACCCAGGATAAATTATGGAGGCCAAGATTACAAATATGACAGCACCACTGAGGACAGCAACTTTTTAAATCCTCTGGGTGGATGGAACAGACAAGGGCTCAGCCACCGCACATTTGATCTGAAAGAACAGCCAGAATATGGTAAGTTCATGTTACACATATCATCATGCTATGTATGCTACATACACTGTGCATTGATCATGGACACTGAGAGCTTGCTGACTGAGATACACAAGGGTCAATTATATATAGTGGTGTCTTTAATGAAAAAAAAAAAAAGAGAGAGAATTCAAGCTTTTATCATAGTTCCTGGATGATATTTATTCCATTTATTTAATACTACTTTTCACTTTTTCTTTGCTGCTGTTCTGCATTCTCTTCACTGTTACCTCCTGCTGTATCTTTACCTATCATGACATCTTACTTCACCTGGTACAACAAGAAAGTTTGCACATTTCCCTGTTTTGATCTCCTTAGTATAACAAAAAAGGAATTGCAATGGTAGTTCAGATCTGGAGACTCCAGCCCAGAGATAACCTTTGAACAAATTCAAGAAAGAGCCTTGGCATTAGGCTGAGGCTGTGTTCCCATCAGAAATATATGCTTAAAGGTACATTAAAAGAACGTATTGATTTCAGTTTGTAATGACTTGAACGGCAACATTTTAGACAAGGCACCCACAATTTCACATGCAGGACTTTCTACAAGACAATGCAAAGTGTGTTGGCGTGAACAGGTCTTGTTTAAACATTGCATTTTCTCAAACCCATGCATTTTGCTATTTGGGAAAATGGATAAGCCATTTCATATAACAGAAAATAGTTTTTCCTACAGCCAAGTGTAGATTTACTGCACATACATGATAAAGCCCAACATATATGGACACCTGACCATCAGACCTATACAAGTTTGTTGGACATTCTTTTCCGAAACCATGGAGTTTTCCCCCTCACGTTTGGCTAGAAATCCTCTCCTCTTCTGGGAAGGCTTTCCACAAAACATTTTTAGCATAGAACTTTGTCTATATATCCAAAACTGCATTGGTCAGGTCAGGTATTGATGTTGGACAGAGACCATCTCCACACCAAGCTCATTAAACCCTGTCTTTATTGAGCTGGCTTTGTATGTACAGAGGATATGGTCATATGGCCCCAAACTGTTGCCTCAAGATAGGAAGTGTACAGTTGTCTAAAATGTCTTTGCATACTATAGCATTAACAGTAACTGTTACTTGAATTACCTGAGCGCCATAATTTAGAGAGGTGACTACATACATATATGCATGATTTTCAGGCAAACAAATGTGGCCATATAGCAGGAGTCTCAAAATGTTTTAAACAAATGGCCAATTTACTGTCCTTCAAGCTTCGGGGGGGGGGGGGGGGGGGGGGACTGTGGCCAGTTGGAGAAGAAAATGTCCCTGCAGCAGGGGGAGAAAACAATGCCCAATGATTGGTTTTAACATGATGAATAGTGCCCCATGTGCCCATCAACAGAAGGAATAGTCTGTCATTGACGGTGTGAGTGGGAGGAATAGTGCCTCATCATTGGTTTTAGCAGGAGGAATAGTACCCTATCGATGGTGTCAGTGGGAGGAATGGAGTACTGCCCCATTAATGGTGCCAGTTGGAGGAATAGTGTCCCAAGGACCGTGTAGAGGCAAGCAAAGGGACACAATTTGGAGACCAATGTATTTCCCCATGAGCACCTTGTGTATGTTGAGCTTTAGAAGACATTTATAGAAAATTGTGTATTTCTTATAAAAACATGTTCCTCCTGCCTCCAAATTAGATTTTCTGCTTTCATTTAGTAACAATCCTAGTTATATACACACCGCTCAAAAAAATTAAAGGAACAATTTGAAAACACATTAGATCTCAATGGGGAAAAATATCATGCTGGAAATCTATACTTCTATGGACTGGGTAATGTGTTAGGAACTTAAGGATGCCCCAGCGTTTGATGTAAATTATCAACATACAGAGGACTACATTCCTCCCGAAAATCAAGTGGAAAAAATGATGCAGCAGGCTAGTCCATTTTGCTGAAATTTCATTGCAGCACCTCAGAATGGTACTCAGTAGTTTGTATGGCCCCCATGTGCTTGTATACATGCCTGACAACATTGGGGCATGTTCCTAATGAGACGACGGATGGTGTCCTGGGGTATTTCCTCCCAGATCTGGACCAGGGCATCACTGATCTCATGGACAGTCTGAGGTGCAATCTGGCAGCGTCGGATGGACTGAAACATGATATCCCAGAGGCGTTCTATTGGATTTGGGTCAAGTGAGCATGGGGGCTATTCAATGTTATCAATTCCTTCTTCCTCCAGGAACTGGCTGCATACTCTCGCCACATGAGGCCGGGCATTGTCGTACACCAGGAGGAACCCAGGACCCACTGCACCAGCGTAGGGTCTGACAATTGGTCTAAGGATTTCATCCCGATACCTAATGGCAGTCAGGATGCCATTGTCTAGCCTGTAGAGGTCTGTGTGTCCCTCCATGAATATGCCTCCCCAAACCATCACTGACCCACCACCAAAACGGTAATGGTGAACGATGTTACAGGCAGCATAACATTCTCCACGGCTTCTCCAGACCCTTTCATATCTGTCACATGTGCTCAGGGTGAACCTGCTCGCATCTGTGAAAAGCACAGGGCACCAGTGGCGGATCTGCCAATTCTGGTGTTCAGTGGCAAATGCCAATCAAACTCTATGGTGCCCAGCAGTGAGCACAGGGCGCACTAGAGGACATCAGGCCACCCTCATGAAGTCTGTTTCTGATTGTTTGGTCAGAGACATTCACACCACTGGCCTGAGGAGGTCATTTTGTAGAGCTCTGGCAGTTCTCATCCTGTTCCTCCATGCACAAGGGAGCAGATACCGTTCCTGCTGATGGGTTAAGGACCTTTACAGCCCTGTCCAGCTCTCCTAGGGTAACTGCCTGTCTCATGGAATCTCCTCCATGCTCTTGAGACTGTGCTGGGAGACACAGCAAATATTATGGCAATGGCATGAATTGATGTGCCATCCTGGAGGAGTTGGACTGCCTCTGCAACCTCTGTAGGGTTCAGGTGTAGCCCTAACTAAAATGCAAAACTAGTGAAAAACAGTCAGAAAAGATGAGTTCCATTCCTGTTTGGGGGGTTGTCTCATTGTTGCCCATCTAGTGCGCCCATTCTGAAACTTATGAACAACCCCCTCTGCTACTTAACTAACCAGATAAATATCCCAGGAGTATAACTCCTTGACGCCGACGTCACACAAATATGTGGCCTCACAGAACTGGGCTTTTTTTTCCATGGGGCCGCATATTTGCGCACCTGTCTAAGTGCTGGGAGTGAGCCGCAAAGCACGCTCCCAGATAAAGATGGGGTGTCATCGAGGGTCCCGGGTCCTGGGGACTTCCGATTCCGGGTCACCTGATCGATGTGATAGCCTCTGATTGGCTATCACAGTGATTAGTCACTGTACAGCTCAGCCCTCTTGTTTTGTTTTTTTTTCTCTCTGAATGGAGGAAAGAGATACATTGTATCTCTCTAACTGCTGGCATAGAGGGGAAAAAAAGTTTATTAAAAAAAAAAAGATAAATATTAAAAAATAAAGAAAAAATACCTAGATCAAGGTTTGATCCAGTTCAGTGCCAGGGTAAGTGTTTGGGTCATGGTCAGCATCAAAGGTCAGGGTTTTTTTTTGTTTTTTTCATTGGCATTAGTGTCAATGTGTTTTAGGTAAAAAATAAAACAAAAACAAAATATGCACTAATGTTTTTGAGCTGTATTACGGGTACAAATAACATACACATGTGTGGTATCACTGCGATCGTCAGGAGATGGAAAATTTATTTTGGGTTGTTCTTTGGTGGTAAGTTGTGGTAGTAACAACACATAGCTAAATTTTTAAAAAAAAAATATATATATATTTTTTTTTTTACCATTCTGGGCCAGTTTTCCTTTGATAATAAAAAGAAATCAGGGGATATCCATTACCATTTACCACCAAATAAAAGCCCCATTTTGTTTCTGAAAAAAAACGCGTTATAATGCACCTGAATGTACAAAATAGTTGTGGTGATATGTACGGTTTCTGAACACATGTCAACGTTGCAAAATTGTGCTTAGGCATTAAGATTTGTTTTACCCTTAGGCGTGAAGGGGTTAATTGACTTGATGCTGTACCTCTGATTAAAAAGTGTTCTTTTTAACTTTTTTGAGCTGTGTGTGTGTGTGTGTGTGTGTGTATGTATTTATGTATAAAATTTTATGTATATATGGTTTTTCAATGAAAATGTAATGAAAATCATCTTCCTTATTCAATTCCTCACACATGGCTTTTTAAATTCGATTACATTGTAAAAACAAAATGTTTAAATTCCTATTATATTACCGTTCAGTTGACCTTTAGATTTGATTGGAAAAAGGAATGGAAAAGGTCAGATCAAAAAAAAGAAAACATTGATACACCAGATGCTTCAAAAACAAACTCTTTACTTGATCTCAAAGAATTCCACTCACATTCCAATCTTGCATTCAGTCAAAATATTAGGAATTCTGTTTGTTAGAACGAACTGGGTAGGATGCAGAATGCTCTGTAACCAAGACCACATGGCCCTATCTGCAGAACACTTTATTTTGGGAGCAGGCACATCGTGGCACAGGATTGTTGGGTATTCGCACCAAAAAACACCAGTACAGGCTTTTTTGTGGGTTAAACCTAGAGTTGGAGCGTCATTTGATGGTTAAGTTGGAGTTTAAGTTTAAAGGGTCCTTCTAACCATTCTTTTTTTTTTTTTGACCGTGGACAGTTATATTACCAACAGTTCATTGTGCCTCAGAAGGACCTTGGCTGTGAAATCGCTGCATTCTAGTTCCGAAGACTACACACACTCCACAACCACAATGAGACAATCCTATAAGTCTGTAATTTTTATTTAAAATTATGGAGTATGTAAAAAGAAGAGAATACCCAAAGATGGGTAGAATTCAGTACTGCAAGGTGAATGGGAGCAAAACCAGGAAATAATGGCATGGAGATCTCACCAATGGGAGTTCTTAAGGGGCAAAATAAGTCATACGATGGCCTCTTCTATTACATTCCACCTATATCACCAATATCACTTTTGGGTTGACTCCCTTTATTGGCTAAAACATATGTAAAACCTACCAATGAACTTCACATATTTGCTCCCTTTTGGTCAGCTAATTATACAATTAAAAGTATTTTTGTTTTTTCTTTCTGTTTTGGTAACTGGGAAGAAAAAAGATCTTTTAAATGCAAAACTGTCCTGTGTTCTCTAAACACTTCTTGTGTTGTATCCAAAGAGCCCTTCTACGTGGACTACAGATTATTTATTCACTATGATGCTGAAATCTGACATTGGTATTGGTTGAGTAATTTAGCAAAAGACATCTAGCAAGGCTTACAATCCTTAAAATTTTTTTTTTTTAGGTGCTTTATTTTTTTTTTTCTTAGTGCAAGTACCTGAATTTGATTTGTTATCTCTTGGAGATCATGTGCTGTAGAGGTCAGACAGGGGGAGAGGGAGAAGCAGAGCAAGATGCAAGTAACAATCTGCTGCATTGGGCATACTGATAGCAGGAGAGATGGACAGATGAGCTCCTCAACCAGCCCCCCCCCCCCCTTTTTTTTTGTCCAGTCATGGGCTAGTGGAAGGAAAAAGACCTGAGAATGTTACTGAACTGCAGCAGAGAAAAATCTTTATTCCTGGGCAGAGCATTGTAAATCTCAGGACTGGATGGACAGAAATACAAATTGTTGTGCAGGTAAAACAGGTACCTTATTTGTAAATGTGTGCATTTAACTGTTTAGAATGATTTAATTTATAATGATACCATTGCCATACCTAGAATTCATCTTTAGTTACATTGGTCCCAGCTAGACCAAAGTAACTATGTATGTACCATACAGTGGGGCAAAAAAGTATTTAGTCAGCCACCAATTGTGCAAGTTCTCCCACTTAGAAAGATGAGAGAGGCCTGTAATTGGCATCAAAGGTAGACCTCAACTATGAGAGACAAAATGAGAAACAAAATCCAGACAATCACATTGGCTGATTTGGAAAGAATTTATTTGCAAATTATGGTGGAAAATAAGTATTTGGTCAATATCAAAAGTTCATCTCAATACTTTGTTATATATCCTTTGTTGGCAATGACAGAGGTCAAACGTTTCCTGTAAGTCTTCACAAGGTTGGCACACACTGTTGCTGGTATGTTGGCCCATTCTTCCATGCAGATTTCCTCTAGAGCAGTGATGTTTTGGGGCTGTCGCTGGGCAACACGGACTTTCAACTCCCTCCAAAGGTTTTCTATGGGGTTGAGATCTGGAGACTGGCTAGGCCACTTGAAATGCTTCTTACGAAGCCACTCCTTCGTTGCCCGGGCGGTATGTTTGGGATCATTGTCATGTTGGAAGACCCAGCCACGTTTCATCTTCAATGCCCTTGCTGATGGAAGGAGATTTGCACTCAAAATCTCACGATACATGGCCCCATTCATTCTGTCCTGTACGTGGATCAGTCGTCCTGGTCCCTTTGCGGAGAACCATCCCCAAAGCATGATGCTGCCACCCCCATGCTTCACAGTAGGTATGGTGTTCTTTGGATGCAACTCAGCATTCTCTCTCCTCCAAACACGACGAGTTGTGTTTCTACCAAACAGTTGTATTTGGGTTTCATCTGACCATATGACATTCTCCCAATCCTCTTCTGGATCATCCAAATGCTCTCTAGCAAACTTCAGATGGGCCCACTGGCTTAAGCAGGGGGACACGTCTGGCACTGCAGGATCTGATTGATCCCCTGGCGGCGTAGTGTGTTACTGATGGTAGCCTTTGTTACGTTGGTCCCAGCTCTCTGCAGGTCATTCATTAGGTCCCCCCGTGTGGTCCTGGGATTTTTGCTCGCCGTTCTTGTGATCATTTTGACCCCACGGGGTGAGATCTTGCATGGAGCCCCAGATCGAGGGATATTATCAGTGGTCTTGTATGTCTTCCATTTTCTAATTATTGCTCCCACAGTTGATTTGTTCACACCAAGCTGCTTGCCTATTGCAGATTCAGTCTTCCCAGCCTGGTGCAGGTCTACAATTTTGTTTCTGGTGTCCTTCGACAGCTCTTTGGTCTTTACCATAGTGGAGTTTGGCGTGTGACTGTTTGAGGTTGTGGACAGGTGTCTTTTATACTGATAAGTTCAAACAGGTGCCATTGATACAGGTAATGAGTGCAGGACAGAGGAGCCTCTTAAAGAAGAAGGTACAGGTCTGTGAGAGCCAGAAATCTTGCTTGTTTGTAGGTGACCAAATACTTATTTTCCACCATAATTTGTAAATAAATTCTTTCCAAATCAGCCAATGTGATTGTCTGGATTTTTTTTCTCATTTTGTCTCTCATAGTTGAGGTATACCTATGATGCCAATTCACGGCCTCTCTCATCTTTTTAAGTGGGAGAACTTGCACAATTGGTGGCTGACTAAATACTTTTTTGCCCCACTCTACCTGTCTGATACCCCTGGAAGTTGGAAATCATTGAAGTAGAAACCACTGCTCCAGTAATCACCATTAGCTTTCGAGTCCTTTGTGGAGGTGCTGGTCTAAGGCATTCTGAACACAGGAGGTCGGCTGCTCAGCTCAGCCGCCATTCAGAGAATGTTTTGCATTTTTTCAAACAAATGCAAAGTGTTCTATGATTGCACAATAGAGAGAAAATGTGATTACTGCCTCACCTCTATATAACATCCACTCAGAGAACACTTTGCATTCATTCAAAAGATGCAAAGCATTCTGTGAATGGTGCCTGTGCCAAACAGCGGACCTCCTGTGTTCAGAATGCAGCAGAGCAGGACAGCTGCTTCTCGCAGGACCCGGACAGGGGTAGTAGTGTCTGATTCCGTGATTTCCAGCTTCCAGAGGCATTGGCCAGGTATGTATATAAAGAGTTACACTGGTCCAGGCTGAAGCAATGTATCTATGTATAAAATATCCATACCTGGTGTTCTTCTTTAAGTGTTAATTAGAAGGTTCGCTTCCAAGCTGACTGATCCCAATGATCCCTTCCTCTGAAAAAAGAAGGAAAGAAAAGAAAAGTTAGGCTGAAGTTTCACTTTGAACAGTGGTATATATTTGCTGACTGAGACACAGAAAATAAATACATCTCTAACTTGCTGATATGTTCTTTAGTGACGGTTATGTACAAAACTTGTTTTGTAGACTATGCTGATGGAGAAGGGGATTGGAGCGCCTGGTCGGTGTGCAGCGTCAGTTGCGGCAGCGGGAATCAGAAACGTACCAGGTCTTGCGGATACGCCTGCACAGCCACAGAATCCAGGACGTGTGATATGCCAAACTGCCCAGGTGTGTAAAGTAACTCCAGAGAAATGCAAACTAAAGAAAGCTGTGCATGCTGCTGGGAGCCTTTCCTTCTCACCACATCAAAACCACCCTGAAACGATCAATGCGCTGCCTTTAAAAATATAAAGTGGGTGTTCTGTGGATAAATGCATGCGCATATAATGACTGATGGATTTTAAAAGAGGAGAAAAAAAAGACGGGTAATTTGGCTGCTTCTCCGAGGTATCTGCAGAACACCTGGTAAAATGAACAGGCTGACTTTGGCTCACAATACACATTCCTGATGCCCTGATAATGCATTTGTTACATACTCCAGTTCTCTGAGAGAGGAGAAAGAGAAACCTTGTGACTTTATAGTACAAGTACTCGCAGTCACTAACAGGAATTTTAGAATATTTGACAGCTCTACATTCTTGGCTTGATAAATTAATAATTTCTGTGAAGCCAATATTAAATTCAGCTGTTAGGACCAAAAAGTGTAAAGGGCAGTAAACTGCACCAGTGTTCATTTCAATCATCCCATTGGCTGAAGAAATTCTGTGTGGGTTGTTTTTTGTTTTTTGTTTGTTTTTTCCCCCTCCTAGGCTAGCTTTCTTGCCTTCAGATTTTAATCCGGCCCACTGGTAATTTTGCCAACTTGTTCCTGCAAGCTTTTCATTAGTTAATTAGTATTTGCTCTAAATAACAAATTATTATTAATATTATACAGGATTTATATAGCGCCAACAGTTTGCTCAGCACTTTACAATATAAAGGGAGACAATACAGTTCAATACAAGAGGGTTAGGAGGCTCAGACAACTAAAAAAAAGTTAGTTTTGCTCAAAGATATTGACTTTGGAAAGTATTTTGGCCAAATGAGAACACATTAAAGGATAGCTATTAGGCAGCCTATTTATTTGGTTGATAAAGAAGCAGGATTGCTTCAAAACGCGCCCCTTTATATTGGGGTACACAGTGGTGACAACAGGAGGCTTTCGGCTCTTGGACTCAAGACCGTTTCATCCATCTCTGCCAGCTGTGTCATTTCCACTTCAGCCCGTGTTTTCCCTAGCCAGTGGCCAAGGTGGGGATCTGGGATAACTCATACACTGACTCTAGACTCATTCTCCAAGCCACCCGACAAGCCTCTCTACCCCGCAGTTGTCTGTGAGTGCAACTATTGGTTTTATTTTGTCCATTAAACTTCCTTATGCATGCTACACTATAGAGTGTGTGCTCCTCTCTCTCCTTTCTTGTTGGCCCATGTATTTAAATGGCTAGCAACACAACACAGGCAAGACATTGAAGTGCACTGCAAATTGGACATGCACCATTCTTTTCAATGCAGAGCATCACAACACCATACAGTGTATTAAAAATGAATTTCTTCATGCATTACTGCACTGCAACAGTGTGACTAGGTCCTGATGGTTTTTGGGTCACTTTTAATTAAATAAGAATTGTAAAAGAATCTAAATATATATAGTGTTTTTAGTATTAGATAGATATACATGCACACACGGTATAGAAAAAAATCATCATGCCCCACCCCCCTTTAAAATAATCACATTCTGTTACTTTGCAGCCTGAAATGAAGACACAGTTTTTTTGTTTTATCCCGCTGTATTTACTCAGTGCAACTTATAACATCCAATTGAAAGATAACACCAACATTTCAGAAAAAAATTCAAATTCAGAATCCCTGGGTTGGAAAAAGAATCACCCCTTGTGTCAGTACTTTGCTGAACCACCTTTTGCTGTAATTACAGCCTTTAGTCTGCTGGGATGTCAGTACTAACTTTTCACATCTAGGGGTTTAAGTCTGTGCTCTGACTAGGCCATGTAAGGACACTCACCTTTTTCTCCTTCAACCACTGTGGGGTCATTTTTGCTGTATGCTTTGAGTCATTGTCCTGATGAAAGGTAAACCTTCTTCCCCTTCTTACCATTCTGGCAAAGGGCAGCAGATTTTCCTCAAGCATGTGACGGTATTTTGCACCATCCATTTTTCCTTCTATCCTGACAAGTGCTCCAGTCCCTGCTGCAGAACCCCCCCCCCCCCCCCCCATAACAGGATATTACCACTTCCATGCTTTACTGTAGAAATGGTGTTATTTGGATGGTGAGCTGTATTGGATTTCCACCAGACATATTGTTTAGTGTTGAGGCCAAATAATTAAATTTTAGTCTCATCTGACCATAACCCCTTTTTCCATGTGGCCTTCAAGGGGCGTTTTGGCAAAGCTCAGTCATGGCTGTGTGTGACCTGTCTTGAGGAGCAACTTTTTTTTTTTTTTGCAATCCTCACATACAAGCCACATTTGTGGAGAATTTGTGATATTGTTGTCACATGCAAACAATGACCACTTTGTCATAAATTCCTGCAACTACTTCAGAGTTGCTGTAGGCTTCTTTGTAGCCTCTCTGATCAGTTTCCTCCTGGCTCTTTCCAGTTTGGAGCGATGTCCTGATACAGGGAGGGTCTGTGTTGTACAAATTCCCTTCCACTTCTTAATATTAGACTTCACTGTGCATTGCTAAAGCCTTTGGTTTGTTTGTTTTTTTTATACAACTCCTGACTTATGCCTGTCCACAACTTTATCCCAGAGATCTTTTAACAGTGCCTTGACACCCATAGCTGATTGTTTGCTTCAGTTGCACTATCAGAGACTGAAATGCTCCAGGAAATCTCTTTTCATGCTGAGCTAATAAAAATGACCACAGCCAATCACAGTTGAAAGTCAAATGGCTTTGCGTGCCATTGAGAAGCTGATTACCTACACCTGATTGAGTTTACAAGTCATTTTTAGGAGGGGGTTGATCCAACTCAGTGATTCTGTTTTAGAATTTTTTTAAATGTTTTTTCTGACATGCTCATGTTTATATTTTTCACTTGGAAGTTGCACTGAGTAAGTACAACTGGATAAAGCAAAAAGGGGGCATTTCCTTCCTATACCTGCTGTATATAAAGTTTAAATGTGATGCAATCAATTTTTCTCAAGTGAACCTGATTGGAAGCTCCATGCAAGTCCATAAGCAGGTGGATGTACTGTAAACAGATGTGTGTCCGCTTACATCAGACCACCTCCAAGTCCATTCAGGACTGGGGAAAGAAAAGGGTAAAAGTCTGAATCCTTTTTAATTTTTCTGACCAAGTCATTGATTGGCGGTAGTCTGATGTAAATGGACATTTTCACCCAGCCGCTCATAGACCCAACATGGTTTTGTAAATGCAGAAAAAAAACTGAACGGGCAAGTATTTCACAAAAGTGACATCTGTCCCAATCTGCTCCAATTCACCTGCGTGAAAGAGTCCTTTAGGGTTGTTTCTCATTGGAGAAGGCCATGTTATTGACATAACCTTCGGAGCACAGGTGGTGTTTTATACTTGTAATGGAGGAGTTGAAGTAAAAATGTATTTTATTTGTTCACTTAAAGTCCAGTACCACTTAATCCAGTTCAAATAAGTCATTTTTGGCAGCTCTGCATGTTTCCTAAAGTTGGTGAGAAAAAAAAGTGTAGCATTTCAGAACCAACGAGGTGTTTGTAATGAGCTGTCTGTGTGGTCCCTCAGCCTCCTAGGCCTTTTACAAAGCTGCCATTTCCAGCACAATACATTTACAGTAAGTCAGATTTTTTCTTTTATGGCTTACAGGAAGCCAGTTTAAGATTTGATATTTATACTAATACACAGATTGCTGTCTTTGGCTAATGGCTGAACACTTCTGGCTATGGTTAAGCAGTTGCTCTACTTAATAACACCAGTTACAAGGGCAAAGTTGTGTTGGTTGTTTGTGTGCGTGGCTTGAACACAAATAACGACACTGACATGTCAGAAAATTTCCCAGGATCCCAGTTTACTGTAAAATTAACTGTGAATAGTGCAGCACTATAAACAAAATCTATCTAATAAGTAAAAATAAGTGTTAAATATTGCTTGCCATGCAAACACAATGGTGCTCAGTGAAAAATTATTGCAAACAAATACATCTCATTCAACAAATATAAGTGAAACATAACCTTATTATGGTGACAAAATACAAATAGTAGTGAAGTGGTTCTTTAATGAGAGAAAAAAAAAAACATCCAGTGCTATATGTCAATCTCTAAAAAACACACTGTATGTGACCAAACTGCAAACAAATCAAATTCTGTGTTATTTGAAAACATAAAGTCACCTCCTACCGGAAATGGCGTACCGACGCGTTGCGTCACGTGACTCATGAAGTCACGAGTCACGTGATGCAACGCGTCGGTACGCCATTTCCCGGTATGAGGTGACGCACTTCCGCCAGCGGCCATCTTGCTACACCCAGTATACCATGCAGTACTCCCATAGGATGTGGTGACGAGCGTTTTTGTTACTGGGGATACATGTGAGTGCTTTACCTACTTTTATCTGCAATTTAAATAAAAGGATACTGCACTATGGAAGGTTTCTTGCTTTATACCCTATATATGCAATCTTGAGTGGAGGAGGAGTGAATAAGGTGTGCTGGGCAGAGGTCTTTACACTATTCCAAAGTCCCTGTGATGAGGAGTGGAGTGGAGAGGATCTGTTACTATTAATTATAGCCCTGTGGCCCTGCGCGGTCAATGTGTGGAGGTGAGCAGGCATTGCTGCCATTTGAGGATTTCTGTTTAATTTTCACTGGAGTGAAGATCACATCAGCATGGTCTCACTTGCATGGACTTTATGTTTTCAAATAACACAGAATTTGATTTATTTGCTGTTTGGTCACATACAGTGTGTTTTTTAGAGATTGATATATAGCACTGGATGTTTTTTTTTTTTCTCTCATTTAAGAACCACTTCACTACTATTTGTATTTTGTCACTATAATAAGGTTATGTTTCACTTATATATTTGTTGAATGAGATGTATTTGTTTGCAATAATTTTTCACTGAGCACAATTGTGTTTGCATGGCAAGCAATATTTAACACTTATTTTTCCTTATTAGATAGATTTTGTTTATAGCGCTGCACTATTCACAGTTATTTTGCAGTATTACTTATTGGTTTAAGTCAAGTGGCAGCAGCTTTAGTATAGGTTTGTGACTTCCGCAGTAAGCGCAGGAGGATATTTACTGTTATTCCCAGTTTACTGTGTTGCTCAATCTCTCCTTGACAAGTATGTCTTTGCTTGGAAGAATGTCATGAAATAAACTGTCCTCTTGAGAAGACTCAGACGGAAGCTGCCATTCTGATTTCCTGCACAGTGACGTCATTGAAATTTTGATCAGTTCTGTATCCCAGGATCAGGACAACTTTACAGATGCATAATGCAGCAGCTTCCATCTGAGATGTCTCACACAGATTGCTTTGTGACAGATTCCTTTTAACTTCCAGTATTTTCTGTGGAAAAAAAGAACCAATGCTCAAAGTCAACAAACCTGCCAACTCTGTTTAGAAGAGATTTAGTAGGATACAGTTACTTAAAGTGATTCTAAAGCTGTTTTTATTTATTTTTAAATAACAAAAACATTTTAGGCTGTGGGATGGTTTTGCAGTCTTCTCTTCTCTGGTCCCCTGCTGGTGCTGCTGGCCCCTCCCCCCTGACAAGTGACCCCATAGCAAGCCTCTTGCTGTGGGGGCACTTGTGCATGCTCGCTTCCAAGCCAGCTCTGTGTGTCCATAAGAAACACACAGCGCAGCTCAGCCCCACCCCCCATTCCCTCCTCACTGGCTGCGATTGAAAGTAGTCAATGGCTCCCATTGCTGTGTCTGAGCCAAGCGAACCTCTGTTCTCGGGCACATCACTGGCTTGGAATGGAGCTGAGTTGGGGGGGGGGGGGGAGCTGCTTGCAGAAGGTTTTTTACCTCTAATGCATAGAATGCATTAGGATTAAAAAAACCTTCTATTTTTGGAACCACTTTGAAATTGATAGGAACTACTACTGTTATGCGGAGTGTGATGTGTTAAAGCTGACCTCCAGGATTTGGACAAAATCTACCTTTGCAGTGCCAACCCAAGGAAACCATGCATTGGTCACATCCATGTTAAAGCAGAACTCTGGTCAAGTTATTCACTTTTGAATGTTTACATATGCACAACAAGCAAGGAATGAGCTTTAAAATCATTTCACACAGATCTCTGTAGCTGTAGGTACTCTGGAGCAATTTATCCATAAAGTTCACAAAGGAAACAAGAAAGTTCTTCAAGTTTGGCTTCAACACTTTACTCATCATCTGCTCTGTGTTTACTGTAGAGCAACCTTTCTCAGTGATGGTTCCATGAACCCTAGGGTTCCAACAAAAGTTGATAGGGGTTCCATGAGCAACAAGCAGTTTCTGTTTCTCAGATATTTAACCATGTTACAGCCTAAATACGGGTGGAACGCATTGCAAAATTGAATTTGGCCTTTAACTCTCACTTACTGCTTTGTGAGAATAAAGCCATAGCCTGGTCAGATTGCTTTGTCTTTTTTTTTTTTTTTTTTTTTCAGGCAAATTTTTAGTCTTTTTTTCAAGCAATAGTTGCTGTAATAAACCTACCTTTTCTATACAGCCCAGTTTTGCCTTTGTTAAAGAGCACTTTAAAATTACTAGAATAATCCATGACTTGTCATCTGTTACTAACATCGTTAACACCCTGTAGGTGGCCTGTGTGTTACTTCAGACTATAGCTCACCTGTAGTTAAACATTGGTATGAATAGAAGTTGTAAATCCGTAAAAGTCAAACACAAAGAATTTTAGTGCACACAAAGGACAGCTAGGAGAGTTATGTGACCTCTAACCAGGGTGGGCAACTGCAGCCCTCCAGCTGCTGTGGAACCATGGGTGGCATTACAAGATTGACAGTTACAAGCATGACTCTCAGAGGCATGATGGGACTTGTAGTTCCTCAACAGCTGGAGGGTTGCAGTTTGCCCACCCCTGCTCTAAGCGGCCATTTGGGCCTGGCTGCTTGAACCCCCTTACATTGTACTAATCTGAACCAATTTTTCATTATTCATGTAGATGCCACTTACTCTACATCTATGTAGAAAATGCATAAATTGTACAGCTGTTTTTATCATTAATCTGTTTTAAACTGTTTACATGTGTACATTTTTTATTCATTCGAAATTTTCATTCTCACCAGGGATTGAAGACACATTCAAAACAGCAGCAACAGAAGTAAGTCTACTTGCAGGAAATGAAGAGTTTAACGCTACAAAGTTGTTTGGAGTTGGTAAGTGTGCTTTTCGTTATTGCAGGGATGATCAAAAACACTCTGAAATTTTAATGTATTCAGAAACCAGAGCCCAGTTAACCACTTGAGGACTGGCATATTAAGCCCTCTTCTTGTCAGGCCATATTTCAGTTTTCATCACTGTGACACATTGACAATCGGTCATTCAAGAGTTTACCCCATAAACTTTTTCATGTTTATGTCACTGTTTCTGGTAGTGGCTGCACTGTATGTTTACTGTGTGCTGCCTGAGATCAGGAACTTCTTTTCATCTCGTACAACATTTGCTTTGTGAAATGAAAATGAAAGCTGCCCCTAACTGCAGACAGTTTAAACATTGTGTGGCTGCTTTGAATTGTCACAGCAATCACATGGTACAGAGCCACTCTCATTGGCTCTGTGTCTTCATTCCATAAGCTGCAATGTCTAATGAAGGATGAGCACATAAAAGGAGAGGCAATTTTAAAACCGCCTTTACTTAGCTGTGGTTAAATAGATATTGAGGTCTTGCGACTAAGATTATAAAATCTGTAATTGGCACTGACCCAAGTGGTATTGATCCAGAGTGGTATTGATCCACTACCTACAAGCCTAAATGCACTTAATGATTTTGTCTTGATGTTGGCGGTCTCCTCTATAAAGCAGCACTCAGAATGGGGGAGGGAAAAGTATGACTGGGAACCAATCAGGTGTGCTGCATGCAAATATTCTGACACAGAATGTATCGGTGGGAGGAGAGAACAAAGTGAGCAAAAAGATCGGCTTGTCAAGCCTGTTACTGCTCTTTTGCTGCATGCTTTCGGGTAGAGGGATGACACCACTATATTCCTGAAATCAGTAGTAAACTGCACCAAAAAAAAAAAAAAAAAAAAAAAAAAAAACTTGGGGCCCCTGGGCAGTTTAAGTCATAATATGCTAGCATGCACAGCATACTAACATATTAAGACCAACTCACATGAGAACAAAGCCCTCCAGCGGAGCACTGTCACCGCTGTAGGAGCTTCTATCTTCACTCGGCCTTCCTACCAGATTCACGGGCTTTTGTTGTATGAATGGCTGAGCCACGATGACGTCACTCCCATGCATGGCACTCTCCATTCAGAGCCCAGTGCATATGCGCAGGTGATGTCACAGGCTGCTGCTAAATATCTCCTAAACGGTACACATTTAGAAGATATTTACTGTAACTATAGGTAAGCTTTATTATAGGCTTGCCTATAGGTAAAAATAAAACTCCTGAGTTTACTACCACTTTAAGTGTACCAAGTCGCGGTTAATATACTTTTGTTAAATTTATTTAAGTCGTGTCATATGCCTGGTTTTGGCAAAAAAAAAAAATACAGATAAAACAGCAAAGATTTGCATTTTATTAAGTGGTTTGCTTTAAAGGATAAGTTTGCCATTTGGACAAAAAAATAATAAATGCACATTATTTTTTGCAGTCAAAAAAAATGTGCATTTAATATTTTTGTCCAGAGGAGCCTGGAAAGCATTGCACCAGTGATCAGTAGATTGCCGATTCCATACAGGTCTCCTGGAGACCTGTCAGAATATCTGCTAGCTGTACGGGATGTATGATCAAGCAGATAATCTGACAGGAAGCTTCAATGAACTACCCCGTCACTCCACAGCGCTGTAGTAGTTCATTGAAAACTACAAGCGGACAGTCGCTAAGGCTACCGGGACTTGTAGTGATGCGGCCGTGTGGGCGGGGGCACCGCACAGCCACGCTGTTTTCAAATCTGACAGTACGAGGAGACTTCTCCCCGTACTATCTGTCAGAGGGATGGGGGTGCAGCGGGCGCGACTGCAGCTATGGGAACATGTCACATGTTCCACCCTAAAAATGGATGGAACATGTAACATATTCTGAAGGTAAACTTATCCTTTAAGTTCAGCTTTTAACATTTGCAGTGTAAATTTCAAGAGCTTCTTAATGTTAAAAACAGTTTAAATAAATAGAAGCCAACACAATTACATGACCTTTTGTCTTAAATGTCATTATTGCATGGATAGTATTCAGTATCAGACTAATATATTAACAGTTAATGAGTCATGCTAGATTTCTGCATTCCCTTGTAGATACAGACAGTTGTGAACGTTGGATGAACTGCAAAAGTGAATTTCTCAAAAAGTATATGCATAAAGTTGCCAACGATCTTCCAAGCTGTCCTTGCTCATACCCAACGGAAGTAGCTTACAGCACGGCTGATATATATGATCGTATTAAAAGGAAAGAGTTTCGATGGAAGGATGCAAGTGGTCCAAAGGAGAAACTTGAGATCTATAAGCCCACAGCAAGATATTGCATTCGTTCAATGCTGTCATTGGAAAGTACTACTTTAGCAGCTCAGCACTGCTGTTTTGATGACAGCATGCAATTGATCACAAGGGGTAAAGGAGCAGGTACCCCTAATCTCATCAGCATTGAGTTTTCTGCAGAACTTCATTACAAAGTGGACATCTTACCCTGGATCATGTGCAAAGGAGACTGGAGTCGATACAATGAGGTTCGTCCACCAAACAATGGCCAAAAATGTACTGATAACCCCTCAGAAGAAGACTATTTAAAGCAGTTTCAAGAAGCTAGAGAGTTCTAAGTACTGGACTTAATGCAAAGGAGTATTAAAGGACTTGGGTGTTCACCGCAGGATCTGCTGAAAACAGGGTCATGTAGTTTGACACGTTAGTGTCTGCAAAGCGGATTCCAACCTTCCCATGTGTTTTAACCAATGCAATGTACACTCCTTTATCTCGAGTACTATATACATCTGTATAAATATTGGCAGACCGAAATGAATTGATCCTGTGAAATAGTTACTCGTTTCTTTGTTTTTAAAGAAGGCAAGCAATTCTTTGCTTGATTGGCACAGTTTATATATTAAAGCTGAAGCCCAAACCTATTGGAGGTTTTCCAAAGTCTTGAAGGACCGTTCCAACAAATGTGGATTATCAGCTTCAGATCACTTCATGGTTTCAGTAAAGGAATCTGAAGTTGATGATCTAATTTTGTGTCCATCTCATTGGTTTATTTGACTATGGCCACCAATCAAGGTTTTATAAAACTTTGTAGCACACCTCTATCTGGGATTGGCAAACATTTACTGTTCTTACACAGGGAAGAAGTAGCAGGAATATAGAAATGGGTGTGGATAGTAAATCTTCAAAATTGGGTCAACTGAGGTAAATGAGATGGACACAGCAGATTTGCATAATACACTAAACATTACAGTTTGGAGTTGCTCTGTAAGAGAAGACTGATGATATAAAAAAAACTCCTTTTCTGGATTCCTTGGGAAAAATCATTTTGCTGTTTTAGAATAGTGTTTTTTGTTAATATTATTTATAATAAAAAAATGAAGGAAGATTGGTTAGAAAAAGTTATTATTGCAAAACTCTCTAAAACTGAAAGGTTTTGGCTGGAGTGGAGAAGGGCTAAAACTTAAAATGTATTTTTCTGCTGCTGTTCCCAATTGGATGGATTTCTTACTTCCTGTTCCTGTGATTCGATAGCAACAGGAGGGACACAAGTTTTGATTCCTCCCCCACTCTATCCAAAAAAAAGCCTTGGCTTGGAGATCTAGTTTAAGGCAAAGTCTACCAGAAACTGATATTCAAATGGCAGCCATATCCACCTACAAATGATTTACCCATAAACTTTTCAAAATCTCTTCAGTATTGGTTTTCAAAAGGAACTAAAAAAACAAAACCCACCCTAGTACAAAGTAGCCAACAATGTATCAAAAATTGGCTAAAAATAAAAAAATTTAAACTAAAAAAAATATAGTCTTGTCTTCAAAGAATAGAACAAAGGCCTGTCCCAGTGCCCATACTGCAAGGCTTTGTTCAAAATGCTTAGCTGTTCAAGAGAGCAATCTGTGGCATCTGTCACACTTCACGTCATACCCATCCGAATCTGTGCAATGGTTCTATCCACAGGCCTGTACATTGCTACAGAACACAGTAGTGACAAAGGGGCTTGAGGAAGAACCACATTTGTCAGCATGTTTGGGTCTTCAAAACAGTAAAAAATCGTCAGCATAGGCAGTGGGACAGGCAAGTGTTCTTTTTCTTTGCAGGCAAGGCATTTTTTGTTTAAAGACCCTTAACCTGAAACCAGTAAACCAAAACTATCAGTTAAGATTGATTTCTGTGTACTGGACTCAGACTAAGAATTGATGGGTTAGCTTAAGTGTTGGGTCTAAAGTTGAGGTTAATATTTTTTACAGTTAAGGTTTACTATTAAGTGTTAATTTAATGCGAAGATCAAGGTCTTATTTTATGGTTATGTATTAGGATGATAGGGGTTCCACACTCTTTTATTATAACTTTTTGGGGCTGCTGACACTTAGCATCTTAAAACATATAACCTTGCCAGTGTTATATCTTCCTACTGTAGCTGCTGACTTTTTTCCCTATGCCATTATTACAAAGCTAAGTGCCAGAGCTAGTCTTGTGTAGCTCAATAACAGCAAGTCAGGTATACTGAAGTCATCAATGGATCATTTAGAGATGTGAATGGTTCCTAATGTACAAATAGATAATCCAACATGTTTGGAGGAAAATTGCTGATCATTAAAAACTTTTATTTGGTATGACCTACCATCCATCTTTCCTATCCATCACCTACAGGAGAGTGAGAACATTGTAGAGGGCTGTGTGCAAAGTACTTGATAACAGGTATTTGGTTTATTACTGCTCCTGCTGAGACATTTATGCCTTCCTGTAATGCAATGCTGGATGCAATAACCAAAATCGTCATATACACAGGTAGTCACACACACAATTTCACAGGTATGTTTAACCAGCATTTACACCATTAATTATTCTAAGCTGTGAAAGACCCACTGCTGGATGAACACCTGCCCTGGCACATCATAGCATTCACTCGGCACTCTAAGAAATAACAGAATCCAACTGCAATATCCGTGCACTGTCAAAACCTCCACTTTATCACATGATGCACAGGAGGATATATCTTATAGTCATCACAATCTGCATAATAACACACACCAATATTAATGTGAGCATTACAGCATGAAATAGACACATCCTTTGACAGCGTCACTGCATAGAATTAATACATTACCAAAGCTATGGGAAGACAGGAAGGAACAGACCCCACTGGAACCATAATGCACAGGAGGTCGCGGAGAAGCTGTAACGCGACCAACCGATGAGCCCATATAGCCTTGCAAGAGTGCCAGCACCAGAGCGTCCTTTTCTGCATGGGAAGGCTGCCCACCTTGACCACATTCAAGCTTCCCATTTTAAACCCTTTTTCTGACAGCTTTCCTAAAGTGGGCAGGCACCACGCCCACTCTAGGAGGAGCTAGCAAAAAGGTTCCATGAACATAACAGTGTCACACCCAATCACTACACTAAACAAATAATGTTTATCTAAGACTATTACACTTTTGCTTCAAATCAGCTTCTTATCTACCCTAAACTTAAAGATTTCTAACTTCTCAAACAAGTAGATATCTTTAACTGCACAAACAAATTCTTATCTAAATTAAGCAGTCTAATATAACATTTCTAGATGTCACAAACATTTTCAATCCCACAAACACTTCTTATCTGCTTTAAGCAGTCTAATATCTTTTGACTCTGTTCCTTGGGCCTAGAGAAATGACATCAATGTCATTTCTCATGCTCCTGGCATCTAGGCAACGATACTTTATTGTTAAAATTACCCAAGAAACAAAGGGTCCAAGGCCAACACATAGGCATTACACTTCCTTCTCTTCTTTTGTCACTTATCTTCATTATGCTAAGGGCATGGTCAAGCAGCAAGATTATTTTATGTAGTTATTGAATGGTGGGCAGACCTGGGAACACTGGTGTCTGGTTTACCCATAGATGACAACGAGCAGAGTGCTTCACTCATGAACAAACATGGAGTTTCTAGACAATAGAAATGGCCAAAGGGTAATTCAAAATCAGTTTTGGTGGACTTAGCCTTTCTATTAAATGAAAAATTGTAACCTTGCTCTTTTTAAAATTGGTGACATGAGACATGCTACCTTTTTTTCCTTTTTATAGAATCTTCTTAAGATGAACACTACACAACCAGGGAATTCAGGGTAGCTAATTACATGAGACTTGCTTTCAGGGACTAAAATGATTAAGAAATGTGGCACTTTCTCAAAAAGACAATATATTCAGTGTTTGTCTTGTCTTTACATAAATATGGTGTTTAGGCCTCACATTTATTTTATAAATATATATTTTTGTTGGGCGTAAACCAAATGCAGTTAAAAAAGAGATTATTTGAAGAGTGTGTGGGGTTCATCCATTATTGCTGTTTACAAATACGTCAATATTTTTGTAAAGTATTTATTATGTTGTAGTTATATATCATGCATCATGCATGTCTGTTTTATTGTTTTGGTTTTTTTTGTTTCTTTTTGGAATGTGTTCTCAAATGTGGGACATAACCACCGAGTTTAAAGCTGTTAATTTTGTTAAGTTTGATATCCATGGAAAAAAAAAAGCAAAGTTTAATAAATTGCCCCAAAGAGCTTCCTCTCATCACCCAGTCTTGTATTGGCATACAAATGGAACACCGTTTATTGTGCTTATACTGTTACTTTATAGGATATGTAGATGTTTGAAAGACAGTGCTTCTGTAGACTTTAAGATACTATGCAATTGAAATGCATGGGTGCAGAGGGAGTTCCTTTTATTTTTTGTGCCTTTGGAGGCTTCTGATAATTGCCATTGTGGGTACAGAAATACAAATGTGTACTCATGCTTAATGAGTCATTAGAAACTTGTCAAGGTACCTTGCTTCCAAATGTAGTGGAAAAATGTACCTACAATGACAACAGCTTAAATCACTCCAAAGTTGCATCTGGACTGAACAGACCATAGCATGACATGAATTCTGCAATGATGAATGCAACACATGCAAGCAAACTGGGTGTTGATATATAGTGTCTCAAATGTCAATGCTCGGCAAAGTAACTGGGGAAGTTAAAGCCCAATGCCAGACAATGCCTCACCTGCTTTTGACCATTCTTTAATTTTACTGGGGAGGTGGCATAGGATGGAGCGAAACAAACAAGTTCTGAGATCCTTATTGCTTGCCAAAATCCATTGCTGCGTACAAAACTGTGCCCTATAAGAGTTGTTCATAAGTTGCCCTCCAGGCCACCTGACTAGGTCTGTTGCTGTCCCTCGCATTATTGTCTTGTGCTGGAAGACTGCAGTGGGCACTGCAAAAACCCTCCCACATTACAGACTAGAAAAATCGGGGTGGGACTGGCCTGTCCTGTCCCATGACCACTGCTTTTAGGTGAGTAATTGGGGTTTTAAATGTTATTTTTTAAAGGGTTTTAAAAGGAAAGAATTACAGAAATGAGACCCATGCAGGAGCTACCATATAACAAACAATGCAATATTCAAAAGCAAGTGCATAAGTAGTCATCCAGGATCTATACAAAGGTAGAACAGATGGGGCCAGGAAAATGGAGCAAATAAGTGGGACTTTATATACGTAGATGGGAGTAAAAGGACAATTATGAGATAGTTAAAATCAAGCAAATGTTATTACACATTCAAGTATAAAAGTGCCACTGGGCAGGTACAGTAATTG